CTCAACTTTAATGAATATGAAAACCAGTATGTTCCAGAACAGCGCCTGATATATCAACTTCTTTCCTTCTATTTCATAGAAGAAAGGGGGGATAGAGAAACGCAAACTTCTTTCTATCTAACCACATATTTCCATAATCAGAACCACACTGTGATTAGAATTATTTTGATTAATCTCCCAAGTATTTTCTTTTGCATTGCAGTTGTTCCACATCCTCATGAGTTTCTACAAAAGGCAAGTTTCGGTGATACACAACTAGCGTAACATCCCCTGTCCTTTTCCCACTATTTGCTTTCGTTGGAGGTAATCAAGTAAGAAATTCTTAGGTTAGAACACTTCTTACTCATTGTCCTTCAGGAATTTTCAAACAGTCATTATTAAATGATATTATCACAGAATCACAAAGTCATAGGAGCTGGAAGGGACCTCTGGAGATCATCTAGTCCAATCCCCCTGCTAAAGCAGATTCCCTTCACCAGGTTGCACAGGAAATCGTCCAGGCGGGTTTTGAACATCTCCAGAGATGGAGACTACACAACCTCTCTGGGCAGCCTTTTCCAGTGCTCTGACACCCTCACAGTAAAAAAGTTTTTCCTTAAGTTTGTCTGGAACTTTCAGTGTTCCAATTTTTGCCCATTGCCCCTTGTTATAAACTACAACTGTGTTTTTTTGTTAATTTGATGGTGTACAAGGACTGCAAGAGAGCAAGTACACCACCACTGTGTGTAATTCTTAGCCACAATTATGGCTCCAGCCTGCCCCCTATAATGACTCCACATATAGCCATATTCACTTTTAAAAAACATTTTAAATATACCTATTTAGGAATTCTCAGATAACAATGACTGCAAAATTTCTTGGGGAAAACATAGCCTGTCTTATGCTGTTTTCTCATCACATGGACCTCCCAAGGATGGTTAAAACCTTTGTTCTTATTTCATTTTATAGCCTCCAGTACTTTTTTTTTTTCTCTTTTTTTTTTTTTCCCCCACAACCTCCAACCTTGAGAAAATCCTGTCCTTAAAGAAAAAAAAAAAAAGATATATGGGTTCCCTGCCCACTGGTGCTATCTTGCCCATGCTTCCAGCATGTATTCCTGCATCACTGCTCACTGCTCACTGCTGCAGTAGGACAGGGGTGGCAAGGGGAGGTGGAACATCAGTACCACCATAGCAGCTGCCAGCACTGCCAGAGCCGTGAAGCCACACCAGCCTCTTACCTAACTCCAACTGGAAAACAGCATCTTATGTTCATATGTACACCTCACTGTCTGTGCTGTAGTCAACATAAAAAAAACCCAGCTATCACTGGTACACCTTTTCCTGTTAGCTGTCTTCCACAGTTTATTGAAATGTTTTCTAGAAATCAATCCTCTGTCTTTTCATTAACCTGAATCTCTACTGGACCTTAGAGGAAATAATCTATTACCATGGAGAGGAGGAAGGGAAGCTCTAATTATAAAACTATTGCTTCTAAAATATTATTAAAGAAAATCAGAATCCACAAATTCTTGATGTTTCTGAGAGCTAAAAAATCCTATAAGCAGAGAGGCTCCTTTTTTTCTCCAGATAATATTTTGTAATTAACAGTGTTCCTTAGCTAGCCAGCTAGTCTTTCATCAGTTACACGGGGGAAAAATGTACACACCAACATAACCTAACTCAGTTCCTGCTGGATTTATCTAAAAATATAAATCAAAATTTAAAAAATAGGATCTGTAACATTTCTCTCCATGGGACACCATTGGAGTCAGGAGCAGCAGAGATATTCAAACCTAATTTAAATGAATGACAGGCTGTTTCAAATTACCAGTCGTAAGTAATCCCTGAATATAAAGTCTGTTCCTGCTGTGTTTCCTGTAGCAGAGCTCAATGGTGACCAGCTTCACAGTGAACTTAGGTTGAATGGAGACACCAGACAATCAGCTATAACACCTAAATATCAAATAGAAATACCTTTGACCTGACTCTCTTGGGTTTTGCCATTGAATTTTACCCACCCAGGAAAAGCATGATCAGTAACTAGAAATGCCAGAAAGTGCAGAAGGAGAAGAGTTCCCTTAAAACTTGGGCGAACTGTTTTCCTTTGCTTTTCTGCAAAAGGAGTTCAAGTTAACTGTCAAACTACAAGCTATGCTGAGGTAGAGCACTTTGTGATTGAACTCACTGTACTTTGCATTAAATAATTCTGGTTTTGTTAAGCTGCAGAGAAGTGTAATTTTTTAGTCTCACAGCAGACATTAGTCTAATTTATCATTTTTTGGTTACAGAAAGTGCTCTTACAATGACTTGCTCATTAATAAGAGGGTGGCAATGGGCCTGTGTTCCAGACAAAGTTTGAACTGCAGCTTTGTACCTCTCCTCAGCATCTTCTCTTGCACACAACTGCCTGGTGTCAGCATGTTGACTCTTATCAGTCCAGGAATACAATCCCTGCTCTGCTGTTGCTGTGGGTCTTGACTCGTGAGGACACAAAGTTCAACCTAATATTAGTGGACTGCTGAGATAAGATTCAGGTCACACTGATTTTAGGTGCCTGCAATAAGACCTTGGTGACTAACAGCAACTACAGTAAATGGAGTGCAACCTGTACAGATAGCAGGGCATAGGGAGCAGTCAGCTCATCGGGTGCAGATGGGTACATAGGCTGAATTAAACAGCTCTTAGCTCTACTGACTACAGTAGATCTTCAGTGACTCTAGTGAGAGCTTAAGTCATAGATTTTATGTGTAGATACCCACACTACTACTACCTGCAATAAAATGAGTTTAATCCTCCCCTAGATCATCTTTTCAGCTCAAACTCAGAGTTATCAACTGTCAGTAATCTTTGCAAAGTCATCTGTTTTGTGTGTTTTAGGAATGAATTTGGATTTGGAGATATACCAGGAAAATGGAGACGGATATGTATCTCCTAAGATTTTCTGAAATAATTCTAAGACGGCTTTGTTTATTGTTTATTTCTTCTTTGCCATTGTGTATGTGTGCAAGTATGCACACTTGTATATACATGCACACACACACACATATATTGTAGAAATATTGTAAATAAAAATGTTCAGCTTTTACTGTCCTATCTTAAACCGGAAAATTATGCTCATATATGCATATTGGAAGACTATCGATATTTATGAAATACATTGGGGTGAATTGCTAAGCATCATTAACTTATTGATGGCTACCAAATTATAATGCAGCTTACATTTCATTATATTTTCTTTTGCATATGGATGGGTATTGCTTGACTGTGTGCAATAGGTTTAATCTTCAAGAAGAAATACAGTAAATATCTTGCTACCAGAGGGCCCCTAAAACAAAACATAAGGTATAAGGTGAAGTGAGCTGCCACTAACATTATGCCTGTTTCTGAGATGATATAGAGCATTTATGGGGTTTTATAATTTACTCTGTTTTTAACTAGCTTACCTCAGGCAACTCATTTAGTATCAAGTTTTCCACTGCAGCTCTAATTTAAGGTGGAGACTGTCTACTTTCTGATATTTGGACCAGGCTGTCAATTGATCTAAGTGCTGAAATACCTTTTTCCTGATTGTATTGGGTGTGGCTGGGATGGAGTTGATTTTCCCTGTGGCAGCCCCCAGAGTGCTGTGTTTTGTATTGGTGGCTCGAGGGATGTTGATAACACCCCAGTGTTTTGGTTACTGCTGAGCAGTGCTAGCAGAGCATCAAGGCTGTCTCTCCAACATTTTCCCTCACAGTAGGCTGGGGTGGGGAAGGTCTTGGAAGGGGACACAGCCAGGACAGCTGACCCAAACTGACCAAAGGGGTATTTGATACCATATGACGTCTGCTCAGAAATAAAAGCAAGGAGAATGGAGGGGGAAGGGGGGACATTCGTTACTTCCATTTTGTCCTCCAGGAACCTCAATGCATATGAAAGCCCTGCTTCCCAGGAAGTGGCCAAACATGGCCTGCTGATGGGAAGTAGAGAATAAATATTTTGTGCTTTTGCTTCTGCACGCGCAGCTTTGCTTTGCTTCTATTAAATTGTCTTTGTCTCAACCCACGAGTTTGTTTTTGTTCTTGTTTTTGTTTTTTTTTGTATCTTATTTTCTCCCCTCCCTATCCTGCTGAGGAGGGGGGTGATAGAGTGGGCTTTGGTGGGCATCTGGCATCCAGCCAGGGTCAACCCACCACACTGATTTAGCGGGAATAAGTTGCCTAAATATCTTCAAGATTCTTGGATGATACTCTAGGCACCAGAAACCTGCAGATGACATTGATATAAGTTGAAATTTTCTGTGGATGACTCCCAGCCAGTTCTGAAAAAAGTATCTGAGGAATCTGAGATGTAGGCATTTCTAGCCTACAATGTCCTCTCTGGTTGGATCATTCTGGGATAACGTTTGGAGCAGAATGGAATGTGAAAGGAACCAGAACATTTCATCAATCGATGTATAGACCTTTATTAGCAATACCTTTTAAAATTAAAATACTCCCAGAATGTAACAAGACTCAAGAAGAGACCAAAAGATCAGTTCTTCACAGGGGAACAACTCAATCTTAAAATTTTTCACTAGTGAAAGACCTTTCCTTAGACATTAACCTTCCAAGAGCTGCTGCACAGTTTTGAATGCTATGCCTCAGATTCTTCATTAATCTGACATAAGAATGCAGGTGAACAAAGGTGAATATACTAAAAACTGATCTTGTCTTTCTCTTCTTTTCTGAATATTGCATGACACAGAGCCTCTTTTCTCTGAGTGCTGCATGACACAGAGCAACAAATACCTTCCACCAAATTATTAAGCATAAAAAATCACCAGAAATAATTTCTGGCAATTTTGTTTTGTAAAGTTAATGACTGTGGCAAGTTGTAGTGTAAATGTGCATTACTAAATCTGGGCTCAACTTCTAGCACCTCCTGGAAATCTTTGTGATGAATACTTTCAGGCTCTCACTGTTAGAGTTAAAGGAAGAAACATTTTCCTTCACATTTAGACTTATGAAAACAAGTGAAATTAGCTTTTCTGTACTATACCTGTACAGATGAAACTTGATAGTCCTCCATAGATGACATCATCATTGTCTGGTAATATAAAGGGACACTTCGTCTGAACCTCCAAACAGTATTGCTTGCAAGGAATTCTGTTGCTGCAGTGAAACTGTGTGACTTCAAAATACTGGGAACAGAGCCAGGCTTTGTAGACAGTCTGGAAAAAGAGAAGAACCAGAAGTATAGATGGATGACAATAGCACTATCATTATTAGAAGAACATATTGTACTACACGCCTACATTAATGCTGCTTCTGAAAGCAAATTTTGGGAGAATATCACCTGGGTAAAACATACTCTTAACTTTTGACTGTATCCCAGTTTCAGAAATGAAAACTCCAGCCAAGTCACTTAATAGCAACAATTAGACAGGACTAGGCTTATGCTTTTATTTTATCTTAGTTTATAAACACATATGTCTCTTAGATGCACCTTTTTATTAGACACATGCATATATGCCACACACTCCTGTCCCTGTATCTTATCATATGCAAATTGAGTTCCTAACCTCGTTTGAAGCTGGTCTGGGAAAATTCTGAAAGTAAGTGCAAGAAACAGTTTAAAACTAGGCTCAGGTCAGCTCTGTTTTCTTTCATCTAGAGTTAAGCTATAAAGGTTGCAATAGATGGTGCTGCTTCCCTTCAAATCAAACCTTATTCAGTCCATAGCATTAAAACAAACATTAGGGTTCCTGAACATGGAAAGCTGTAGACTGGGGACAGTAAGGACCAATATCTACATCTGGGAACTAAAAGGAACACATTAAAGATGCTGTCATCTGATGCTATGTAGCCATGGCTGAAGGACCTGTGATTATTACAATTATTATAATCATTTAAATAGAAAAGCAAAATAAATATGTTGATTTTAGTTTCTTTTGCCTATTCTGTTTTGAGCAATGGTTTGTATTATAAGAATTAAACTAGCCTTTTGGGCACAGAAAAGTTTCACGTGTGATCATACAAAAGCAAATTGGACAGCAGGCTATAAAGGTGATGAAAAACTTGGATGACTGAGTACAGAGAGGTTTGCTTGTTTTCCATTTCCCACTTCTCTGTTTTGAAGTACATTATTTACTGGCTAGATACTTGCTATCTAGGTTGTTATATAACAAAGATTTCCTTTTTCTATTCATTCAGAATATCTGAAAAGCTTAGTAACTACCTTTTCTTTATCAAAGGCTGAAAAGCAATATAGTCAGTTGATTATTTCCCTTCTTCCTAGAGCAGTTCTTAATAAAAAATAAAATTTTGATTTAATTTTTAAGCACTGAAAATTAAAAAACCCTGACACTTGAAAAGAGCAGTCTAGGTGAGAGTTTGTTTTGATTTCAGTATGTTTCTTCTCATCAGTTATAATTTTTATTAGTGTCAGTATCAGCTTAAATTGTATAACTAATTTCAATGTATTAGTCTCAGAATCACAAAACTTTTTTCTTAGCTTGTTTGCGACGGTGGCAAGGGTGGGTAGGGTTGCTAGGTGATAAAATGAAGCCTTTATCACTAATCTATAGTTTGTGATTATCCCTTTACAGTAGCTTTTGTCAATTGTATTCTGTAGAACACGATTTTTTTTTTTCATTACAAATTCAATTTTAATTGCTTACAAAGGTTTGTTATCCACAGTAAATGATTAATAAGAACAAAGACTAAGTGATGTGTGTACTTTTTTTTCTTAAATAAACTTCTAAACAGCAAGTGGTTTTCCTGGTGTTGATTATATCCCTCACATTTTTAATGCTTAATTTGCTATATTGACACAACAATAAAAGAAATAAAGTAATTGTTTTTCTATTTTTAATTAGTCAGTGACCATAGTCTATTGGTTGGAGACAGGAACGCTGGCTCTGATAACAGACAAATATTCACAGATGTTCCTTCCTGATCACTAACACTGTTGTTTTGTTCAGTATGAATCCACATTTTATCTTCATAGAATAGATCTAAGACTAGTAAGTTGGCTGATGAGTCATATTTGAAAGTGTACATGAGTTTATAGAGAGTGTATTGAATGGCATACCATACATGGTAACAAGAAAACAAGCAAACCCATGTGTCTACTTAAGGAAGACAGAAAAATAAATGTTTATTCAATAGCAGAAGTAACTAATGCGATCATAGGCTTCTGAGAATATTTTTATGTATCCAGTCTCAGTTTGTACACATCATCTTCCTGCTCTGATTCACAAGTCCTCAGATTTGTCTCAAAATTGCATTTGAACTCTTGTAAAGAATGCGCAAGTGTACCTGTACCTGAGATCTATTTCTCAAGATAATTGTTTTCCACTCCATATTCTTTTTATTGCAGCTCTTTTCAACCTTGTCTGCAATCCGTATCAAGATTTTTAATATGCTGGTTCTCATTTTGCTCCTTTTTGTCCAGTGAGGCTACATGGAAACTAAGTTTTTCAGAATTCTGTCTGGATATGAACTTAGGTCATATCCCATTTTGGGATGAGATGCTGATACTTATCAGCCTTGCTACCTTAATGATCGGGTTTCTCAAAAAAACCCTTCAGGTTTGTGGGACAAGATACCTCTGCAGAACACTGTTAGATGTCCAGACATTAGTAGATGAAAACCTCAGGACATCCTGAAAACTAGTCTAGATGATAGGAGATGATGATAGATGATGATACGGGATGCCATCCAGAGGGACCTTGACAG